TTGGTCATTGTCCAACTCTCTGATGCATAACTGGTGATTGCGAAGACCATGGCCTGTATCAGACGCACCTTAGTCTTCAGAGAGACACCATTGCTATCTAGGTAACTAAAATTTGGGCACTGGTTAGAATCTAAAAGTTTAGTTATTAGCTGTTGTCCTCACAATCTTTTCAAGTAATTAGGAGGGCCGAGGGAATTAAGCACGGCCCAGAGCACCGAGTGCTGGGTTAAGGTATAGACAGACGTGATGTGAGTTGAAGGAATGAGCTCTGAGGCCCCCTCACCAGCCTTCCACCCCTAGACCAGCTCTGTGTGCTGACGGAGGATGGGGCAGGTGTTGGCCAAGTTCCAGAAAGAAGAGACAGTGTGGCACAGGGTCCCTGTGGCCAGAGGCCTGTGCACGTGGCCATGAGCGACCGGCTCTGTGATGTCGTGTGCAGAGAGCTGACTGTTAACCGAACCCCCCAGGCAGTTTCAACCCGCCAGTGACTGCAGGTGACACGCGCGGGCATCGGCCTTCTGTGTGGTCCGCAGCTATGAAGCCCGCTGCAGGGTCAGCTGTGAGTTGATTTTCACTCTGTGGTAATGACTTTGCCCTTTTTTCTTTAGATGTGGCTCTGTTAGGGGAGAGTGTGGGTAGCAGATGGAACCACATCTAAAGCCCTGATTTCACAGGTCACTTAGTAAGGTCAGAGCAGTTAGGTAACAGCCACAGAGGGATTCGATACCAGTGTTCACAAGTCCTGCCTCACTTCTGTTTTCTCCTGTTCATTACTGTCATCTTTGCCCATTTCATTTTTAAATGTATCATTAGAAAGTTTCTGCGTGCATAACTTGAACCAAATGATAATAATGTCTTTGAAGCTTGTTGAATCAAATGCGCATAATCTGTGTCTATTTAAGCAGCGTTCTCCTGAACACTGTGGTCCTGTGTAGGTTTTGGAGAGCTTCAGACCCAACCTCCATCTTCCGAGGATGGGGAATGGCTAAATGAGGGCAAATTTATATTTTTTTTAATGGTTCACTAATTTTTAAATTTTAAAAATGGCTCGCTCAGTGTTGAAACAATGAATAAATGAAAACCCAACGTTTCTATAAACTTTTATTAAAATTTTAAAAAGTATAAAAGCATTCAAAAAGGGAAAAAGAGAGTAGAAGCATTGTCAAGGAGATGCACATGATTTTTGTGTGTGGTTGTTTTGTTTTGTTTCTGAAAAAGGCAGCTCACTCATTTTTAAGCGAGGGCAGACGTCCTTGGGATAAAAGGCAAATAGGAGGGGCCCGCCGCGGAGCCAGTAGACAGGCCAGGCGCTGACTGTCCAGGACAGGCCGGAGATCGGAAGCAGCGGGGCAGTGTCCACGCAGAACAGTTAACCGGCCCCTGTGTCAGAGGGGGTCTCAGCAGCAGCCGTGCCTGCAGAAAGAGCAGAGGACGTGGAGCCCCTCCTGAAGAAGGTCAATGAGTACATCTTCCAGTGTGGGTTACATCTCAGTATCAAGAAACAGAAATCCTCACTGCTGGGCCATACAACCACATCATGATAGATGGGCCGGGGGGATTCATGTTCTCAGTGATGTCATTTTACTCGGCTCCTCAATCATCACCCCTGGTAACATCAATCGAACAACCGAGAAATATTTTATGCTGGGATAATCTGCTATCAAGGACCCCTCCAAAGGTCTGGAGAACAGTGATAGAGGGTTAGAGACTAAGGCGGGTCTGATCTAAGCCATGGTATTCTCCTTGCTTTCTGTAAGTCTGAAAGTTGGACAGGGAATAAGATAACAGGAGACCATCAAGGTTCCTCTGAGCTGTTACAGGAGAGACTGAATGTCCTGCCGACTTGTCTTGGAGGAAAAGAACAAGCCATCTGGAGCAAGTGCATCCAACCGTGGGTGCTCCTTGGAGGCAAGCCTCTTCCCAAGATCCCCCACTTTTACAGTTGTGTGAGGTTACAGTGATACCACTCCACGTTGTCTCTGCATGACCCAGGCCTTTGACTGCACTTAACCTCGTCAGTAGACTCTAAGCTTCCTCACTACCAGAACTGCACGTTCATTCTTCCATAGTCTGAAATACAAACCTGTTCCCACACTTGGTGAGCATTTGGGGTGACTGCTGGCAGAAGTGGGGTGCAGAAGCCTATAGACTACCAGCACCATTGTGGGTGATGCTGGGGGGCAGGTACCACTGTAGCTGCCAGAAGAACAATTCAAACAGCATTGCTTTTTCACAGGAAGCATCATGGACTTGGTAAATTAAGGGTCTAAAATTTTTATATGGATTTAAATTTTTGGTTTCGACTACTAGCAAGGAAAAACATTTCTCTGATTTATAATACTGACCCTCCTGTGGGCTTCCAGGCGAGAAATCACCCAGGAAGAGATTGCCCATCTTTCTCCCTTGAAGCCGCCGTTGGATTCAAACCACCGGAGAGGCCTGGCCTTTGGGTTCACAGCCCACCTGCCTCTCAGAGACCAGACCCCCCCCCAGTGTGCCAGGCTCACTACTTCTTCTCTTGCACTCTCCACCCCCGATCTTTCTCTCTGGGGGCTGTTGGTGGATTCACACCATCGAAGAGCTGCCCCCTCTGTGTCAGCTTCCCAACTCACATGACCTTCACCACCAGCATCAGAGTTGAGTAATAGAGTAGGGGAGGTCCTAAATCTAATCATTTATGAATTCTCAAAGGAGCTGAGTGGACACACGCTGGAGGAACACAAATCCAGGAATGCCAGGGATCCACAGGGCACCGCCAGGCTGTCCACAAGGAGGGACCCTGTCCTCTGTCCTTGAGCTAGCCAGGGCCTTCACGGGCGATTCTGAGAGCCAGGAGGAAACACTTTGTTACTGACACCCTGTATTGCTGGACATGAAGGTATAAGTCTCTGATGAAGCTTAAATTCCTTCCACCAGAGGAGGATGGGTCCTAAACATGCTCCCTGCACAGTTCTAGAAAAAGCAGCAAGCCCACAGACGTGCACATGAGAGGCAGAGAGACCCCCAGGGATAGACGAGAACACTTTCCGTGGAGAGGTAGACAGACATGCACACTGGAGACAGAGAGACTCCCAGGGCCAGGAGAGATCATTTTCTGTGGGAAGTAGGGGAGAGCTTAGGAAGCCTCAGAAACTCCAACTCACGGATACGTTTTATAGGTGCTTAATAAATATCGTTATTGTTTTAAATGAAAAGAAATTTACATTCGGTTTTCTGTTCTGTTGTAGTTCTCCTCAGTTCATCTGCTTCCCTGGAAAAGGATATGTCAGCATAGAAAGTCTTTTTATTAAAAAGTGTGACAGTTACAGCTTTGAATTATCCATAGGTCATTCATTGATCCACATTGTTTTAAACTTTCTCAAAACAATTACATCCCCTTAAGTCAGTTCCCTCAAACCACTTCGGAATGGTCAGGGTCCATCTAAAGCAGACAGTAGCCAGTGCTTGCTTCACATGGGGCGGGGGGCGTGCTCTTCCGCAGAGAAAAAAGAAATGACATGACAGTGAGCGTACCACCTCACCTCTGTCTCAACCATACAGAACTTCAGTAGGTGAAAGAAGCAGAGGTATCTCAGGTTTTACACATAGAGAAATAAAAGTTCCACGAAGCTAAGCAACTGGCCCAAATTTATAGAGACATTGCTAGTATTATGGTGCTGGGAAGAGAACAAACAGGTCTGTCCTGAAAAGGGTGAAACCAGCTGTCCTTGGTGGCAGGGATTCCGAAGCTCCACCTCACATACTTTGGACATGTTGCAAAGAGGGACCAGTCCTTGGAGAGGGACGCCATGCTTGGGAGAGTAGAGAAAGACCCTGGATGAGATAGATTGATTGAGTAACTGGGGCAGTGGGGGTAGGTGTGTCAGAGACAATGAGCTTGACTCAGGTCAGAGCAGGGTTCAGAGCTGCTGTACAGAGAGTTCCTCTGAGTCGCAGGCGACTGTGTTTTCTGATTTCTAATCCAGCGTTTTAGGCACCTTCATTCCACCCTCCTTGAATCTGCTCACAAGAGCGGCATTTCAGTATTTTAATTTTAAGGCATATACTTGATTCCGAATGTAGGTGGTTATAAAAATGGAGGTTCTAATCTCTTCACCTTCTACTTCCTCATGCCGTGTCACTGCCGCTTGGAAGAGTAACATGGAATGGGAAACCGAATGGCAGGCTCGATTTTAGGCACTGAACAAATAATTACTGGACTGATCATTTTGGTTTCATTTTGTTCTGTAATCACAAAGTTGTTTTCCCAGCGACTGTGCTTAAGCTCAGAGGGCTGCCGCTTGGGTTTTGAGTCACTTCCATAATAAATGGTCACATCGCCTAATCTTCAGGTGCCCTTCTGAAAGGTTCAGCCCCAAGCCCCCAGGATTCAGGCCTGCATCTTTGAGTCCGGGGCTCAGAACCCCCTTCACACAACTGTCCTGTGAAATATATGCAGCTTTTCCTGGGGCAGTTGTACTCCATAATCATTACCGCATTGGGGGAGATAACTGAGAAGCCAAGTGATTCCCCAGGTTTTATTTACTTGTTAGGTATCAGGGGAAGCTGTACATGAATGCAGCAGATGGCTCCCAGGGTCCTTGCTTTTTGCGTTCTAATGAGAAAGGACATGAGGTCACTGAATACGAATATGGAAAAAAAAATAAGAAAAGGAGAATCCAAAGAGATCTAGAAAGGGTAGGGTAAGTGAGTGTTTTACAAATGAAAGCAGATGTATGAAATTACAAGCTGTCAGATCAGCAACAGGGATGAAGATGATAAAGTGGTACCTTCCGTGGGTTCTAATTACTCATTTTGCCCGGTCTTGTCTCCTTTCCCTGGATCCTCCTGGGGAGGCGGCAGGGCGGGGCCACAGCGCCAAGTGGGATTCTCTATGGAAGCGGGAAAACGGCCGAGACTCTGGTCACGGACACTTGTTTATTTTATGATTCTGATGATCTGAATTCAGTTACAGGAGCTTTCCTATAGAGATTTTTCAGGTAACCTTGTTGATAAAGAGACAAGGCTTTGGTGATGAGCACAGAGGGTACCTCAGTGGGTTTCTTTTCCAGTTGAGACTGGACAGTAGCAGGGACAGGCAGGGGGGCCCCATCTCAGGCATCTCTGGGGGTCTGTGGACTCAGCGCGACTGGAGGCAGAGTGCTGAGAAACGAAGTAGCTTGCCTACACCTACCTCAGAAGATACACCTAATACTCAGGTCGGTCTGAAAAAAATTTAAATGACAATCTTAGGAACACAGACTTATATATAAAGAGTTTGCGTATTCTTTTTCTTTTCTTCCAATAAATGCATATTCAAATATGAAATATTCACCCTAAATTTCTTGTTACCTTTAGAAAAAACTACTAGTTGGAAGAAACGGTAGTTTCTTTCATTTTGAGTTACATAACACGTTATTTATACTAAGGAATATAAGTTTTGAAGCATGATAATCAATATAAGTTTTATTTCATGAGAATTTGTAAACTAGTTCTTGCCCATTCATAATGTTTTTGTTGCTAACTTCTAAGCAGCAAAGCTAGGGGCATTTAAACACACCCACATAACTGACAGTAAACGGGCACACTTCTGAGACTTTCTTTCACACGTGCACGCACCTGCCTCCGTGGCCGTCCTCCCAGCGCCCCAAGAAGTGCCAGGATGTCACCGTACAGCTCCCAGCCCAGTGTGGCTGCGAGGACATCTTAGAGGAATCCTTCTCCCCACATCGTCTAACCCATCACTACAATTACTGGTTTGATGTCTTTGAATCTAAGTTGTTCATTTTTCTACCCTTAAGTAGTACAAAATATCTTAAACTGTATCCCTCTGAATTTTTTCTTGTTGCTGTTCTTTCTTCCTCTCTTTTTAGTGATTTCCAGTAACTACCAGACCTGCCTTGGCCTTCTGATGCATTACCCACCCATCGGGGACGTGCACTCACTGATTCTCAAGGCCCTGTTCCTTCGCGATCCGAAGGTAAGCTTTCCCCACAGGAAGTAAGACACTTTAACTGCGAGAAAATGCATTTCTCCTAAGAAGTCATGCTACTGAGCGGTTAGAATTCATCTCAACTTTTTAGACCAAAGTTCGTTGAGCAACAGCCCAGCAGACAAACTCCGTTGGCGTCGCCAGGAGAAGCTAGCATACACATCGCTCGTCCCCAGAACGGCTTGTTCTGGGGTTCCGCCTTCCTCAGAACTTCAGAAAATAGTCAGCAGCCGCCCGCCCTGGAGCCACACTCCGAGCCGTTGAGTGGGGTCTCTCCAGGGTGACTTAGCAGAGACCTTCCGAAGACCAAGAGCTTAGGCCTGTCGAGTAGACGGGTCTGTAAGGATTTATCATTCAGTACAATATGGAAGTATTTCTTCTTATGAGTATGTCTCTCCTATTTTGTGAACTATGGACAACTTAATAAAGGTAAAAGTGTACACAAACATTAGTGCCAAGCTCTATTTGAGCCAAAAGCAACTCACCAATATTTTCTTTACGCTTTAGAGCAAAACTGTCCTCTTTTACAACCAGTGTTACATTTCTTGAAAATAACAACATTTAAAGATCTAAAAAAAAAATAAAAATCTTTGAATCCTTCCTGCTTTTGAGCCAAACAAAAATATTAGATGAAGCATGAGTGAGAAAGATTCAAACACAAGCCTGAGAGTGCCAGGGCTGGGTGGTGGTCCCAGACCCTGACTCCCTGGAGGGGCCCCTGGCTCCCTGGAGGCGCCCCATCATTCACACTGGCAGTCGGTGAACTGTCTGTGTCAGTCTGTCTGTGAATGGCGTCGCCAGAGCTCTGTCAGCTCCCCTTGGTTCTCCAAGTTCAACATACATTTTGCATCTGAAGAATTTCTACCCTCTCCTTGGTTGTCAGCGTCAACATTCGAGTATAAGTTTGGTTTATCCTTTGACTGATGTAAAATAATTCATTCATTATTATATGCCTGTATCATTTTCTTTAGAGAAAACACATTTTTATATCATTTCTTTTATAGATCAGTTTTGCTAAGCATCATAGATTTCTCTGATACATAATGAAACATATAAAGTGGCTTTTAAGAGTTGTTTGGTTGTTTCATTGGTTGTGTCTTTGTCTAAGTAAGGGTTAAAACTCTGGCTCTAGAGAACCAAAGTCCCGTGTTTGTGTTTTTCTGTGCATCTTCGTGGACATATGTATGTATATGCCTGTCTGTGTGTGTGTGTATGTGTGTGTGTGTTTTACAAAAATAGCCAAGACGAAGAAATACCTACAGGACAATGAAAGGTAGGAGGTTTCTGGCCAATAAGGGATGTGAGATTTGGTGCAAACTTTAGGGATATGCTGTCAGCTCAGATTAGGAATTTCAGGAGTCATACTGAATGGGGAGAAAATTATGTAAATAGCAATTGAAACATCTACTTGTATTATTTATTTGGTTCAGTTAAATAGAGAAACAAGTATGTTACCTAAAACTATTCATCTTGGTAATTTCAGATGTGGTTGATGTTCATTTTAAACACATCCAGTTGCAGAACTCTGTGTACTGAATTCATCAGCGATGTTGTTGTTGTTGTTGTTGTTGACGTTGATTACCATCGAGTGGCAGTTGACCCAAAGCTGACCCACCAGCGGCAGAAATCGCACAGGAGGAGATTGTCCATCCTTTTCTCCCAGACCAGCTGGTGGATTCGCACTCTGTGCCTTTGGATTGCAACTCTCGTTCTTACCACTTGGCCACCAGAACTCCCTATCAGTGCTTTTACCAGAATCTAAAATCCTCTATTATGTGCATTTAATTTTAATTAAGATACAAAGACAGTAAACTGACTACTGTCGAATCGATTCCAACTCAGAGCCACTCTCCATCCGGTCCCCAGAGCTGTAAATCTTCACAGGAGGCCAGAGGCCATCTCGCTGCCCCAGAGCAGCTGGTGGACTTGAACTTGTCAATCAGGCATCCTGTGTGTGATGCACTGGACTAGAAGTTGTTGTTGTTGAGTCTAACCGACCATAGCTGACCCTCCGAGTGTTCAGAGGCAGTAAATTTCATGGGAGGATATTGTCCATCCTTTTCCTGCAGAGCAGGTGGATTTGAACCACCTGACATTGGGATGGCAGTGCACCTTCTTACCACTAGGCCACCAGAGCTCCCTTAGGCTAACAGTAGAGTCCATAAAATAAACATATAATGAAGCAAATCCTCCAGCATTAGAGAGATATTCTTTAAACTTTTAAAGAACTGAGTGTAACTGTGTGAGAGAAGGGGAGATTCCTCACTTTCCTAGTCAATCTTAACCCCCGCGGTGAGACCAAGATGCTTGTTGTCCCTGACGCCTCACGAGTGAGTGGCCATAGAGCTGTGTGTCAGAGGCTCCTTGAGAGCAGCTCTGTGGGTGGTGGGATCCGTGGCAGAAAGGCAGAGAGCTGACGCATCGGGGGCCTTCTGGTGACTCGCCCAGCGAAGTGATTGTGACAGTTGATTGTATAGAAAAGCTGACAAACGGTATCATTTCGAACAGGTCAAGCAGTAACTTATGCCACTTGGCACTTGTGTTAATTGTATGTCCATGGCAGTGGAGTGTCTGCATAGAGACAGACGTAGGAAATCCAGACTTCGAGTCAGGCTTCGAGAAGTCTAGGCTCACAGAGCAGTGGTGGTGATGGTGTGTGCCGTCGAGTCGGAACCGACCCACAGCTGACCCTCCGTCATGTTTTCTGAGGCAGTTAATCACATGGGAGGAGATTTCCTATCCTTCTACTGTGGAGCAACTGGTAGATTGGAACTGCGTGACTTCAGGATTGCAGTGCAGCTTCTTACCACTAGGTCACCAGAGCACCCTTTGTCTCTGGTAAGAAACTGTGTTGCAGTCCCCAAGGCACGTGGTTCTAATCCACCAGGTGCTCCATGGGCAAAGGATGAGTCCTCCCATACGATTAACTGTCTCTGAAAACCCACCAGAGGGTCAGCTGTGTGTTGGTTCTGACTAAACAGTACTCAACAACAACAACAACAAAGTTAAATATAAAGTAGTCTACTTATACCTTGTCAGTCAACACATAAACTCTCTACCAAGTAAACGAATGGATAAGACTTGGCATGAGATCCCACTTTCCCATATTCCAGTTTCCTATGGCAGTAAGTGTTGAGAGCTGTCCACAGATTGGATAACAACAATGAAAGCATAACAACAATGAAGGCATTCTAAGTCCCGTAAGTTCATTGTCAGCCTTCGGAAAGCACTTCATCCCCCTGCTGTCCCTAACCCCCAGTGGACATTGCTCAATTGAAAACACACTTTGTAATTGGAGCTTGACACACTGTGTTCTAATGATTTTATAGCTAAGATAATCTTCACTGTGGAAGGGTTTCTAATTTGAACAGACTGTAATGGATCTCTGAATGGTAGAAATCGAATCAAGCTTCTTCACAGTTTTCTGGGCACTGTCACATACTTCATTTGTAAGCCATGGGGTGATCAGAGTGAGTTGTCTTTCTACACTATGTAAGGTTATGTGCCTTTGCCTGGGTCAAAATATTTATAGGGTAGAGAGTACTTCTGTGGCCCATGTATCTCTGTGTTCATCCACTCTTTTTCAAAATTTTCTTTTAATTTTATTATTTTGTTTGTGTGTATGTGTACCTTCAAATCAGATCTGACTGGTACAGGAGGAGATGGCCCCTCCTTCTCCAGCAGAGCATCTGGTGGATTTGAACTGCGTATCTCTGGGATTCTAGTGCAGCTTCTTGCCACTAGGCCACCAGAGCTCCCCTCATCCACTCTTTTAACCTCTAAAATACAATTTGTGTGGGAATCCAAGAACACTTAATTGTGCTCATGAGAAACCTACCTAGACTAAGAGGCTGTTAGGCAAACAGAGCAAGAGAACACTACAAGGTTTGACCTAAAGAACGGTGTGCCTCAGGCTGTATCCTTTGTCCATACCTATTCATTTTCTATGCTGAGCAAATTATTTGAGAAACTGGACATCAGGATTGGCATCATGATTGTAGGAAAACTCATCAGTAACCTACATTATGCAGATGACACAATCTTGCTTTCTGAAAGTGAGGAGGGCTTGAAGCATTTGCTGCAGAAAATCAAAGAATTCAGCCTTCAATATGGATTGCATTTCAGCCTCAAGAAAATGACGATTCTCACCCCTGAGCCAGTAAGCAGCATCATGCTAGATGGAGAAAAGATTGAAACTGTCAATGACTTCATCTTACTTGGATCAACAGTCAACACCTTTGGTACAAGGAGTCTCCTGACTACTTTTCCCAGATTGCACCGGGAAAGCCTGCAGTCAAGGACTTCTCCAGATTACTGAGATGCACTAAGATGTGCCTGATTCAGGTCATGGGCCTCTCGGTCACTGGCTGTGCATCTGACAGCTGGACCGTGAACAAGGATGACAAGAAGAACTGATGCTTTTGAGCTGGGGTCTTGAGAGTGCTGGACATCCCATGGATTTCCAAAAGAACACGCATCTCTGTCTTGGAGAACATGCAGCCGTGGACGGCCAAGAGAACAGACAGATACGTCATGGAGAAGGTGCAGCCAGAGTGCTTCTTGGAGGCACAGTGACAAAGCCTCGTCTCACATACTGTGGATGTTGCTAGGAGAGGTTGTTCTTTGGAGAAGGACGTCATTCTTGGAGAGGTTAAGGGTCAGCCAAAGAGAGGAAGGAAGACCCTCACCCAGATGGATTGACACAGTGACTGCACCAGTGGACTTGAGTGGGTCAGAAACTGTGGACGGGACAGGATGGGACAGGGTTCAGCTCTCACCCTCGACCCAGCAGCACCTAAAACAACAACAACACGATCTTCTGGACGAATGCCGCCAGGACCTTTCTTCCACAGCACCTCTCCTCCAACATTTGCATGAGCAAAGAACAAGAATCTGGTCTTCGAGCTCTTGGCGTATTCCCTGTGTAAATTCTCCCTAAGGGCAGATCTTACTCAGGTGCTTGTTGTTCTTTGTCACAATTAATTCTG